TACAAAACTACAAATTTTGCCCTTTGTTATGTATGGGTGGGAGACTGTCGCTCTCATTAAGTGAAGAATGCCGAGGATGATATAGGAGGATGAGGACAATGTATAGTGAGCAGCTTCATAATTTGTATCTTCAGTCAGTAACCTGGGATAACTCAGTCGGTATAGCGACAAGGTGTTTGAATGGGGTTTGATTGATGGCATGGGCAAGAGATTTTTCTCTCCTCCACAGCATCTAGACTGGCTCTGGGGCCCACTCACCTCCAGCTAGTGCCAAGTTCAAGAAAATGTGGGTCTATACATCCACTCCCCCATATGTCTTCATGGTGTAGTGCTTAATTAGCACTGTTAGCATTATTAGGAAGATCAAATAATGGAGGATGAGTTGAGTAGAGCATATAGCATGCATGGGAGGTAAATCTGGAGGGAAGCGGTCATTTGGAAAACCCAATTGTCAATGAGACAATAATGTGAAAACGGAACATAAAGAAGTAGGATAGGAGGATGCGCACTGCATTTGTCTGGCCTAGGATAGAGACCAATGGAGGACTCTTGTGAACATGGTAATAAACCTTAGGGTTCTGTAAAATGCTGGAAATTCTTGGAAGATTAACAATACCCACATTTTTTCTTCAGAAGCCAGTTTTTATGATATTCAGGTTTAAATATCTAAAGTGGCCTAACAAATCTTGGAAAACTGGGATGAGACACCATGTAGGCTCATAAATATGTACCAAACTATTCGGCTCAAATCTTCATGGACATCCCCCCCCTTGTCTGAGAGAACGTCAAAGTTTAGGAGAATAGACGCCATATTGCATTGCCAACAAGCTCCTGCTTGTTTTGGGCTTATTTTACGACTCAGACTATGTTATGTGCAGTGAATTATAAATTATGTGGAAGGAAGCGGTCGTGACATAGTGGAAGTACAATCCCAGCATGTACCTGAAAGGAGTGATAACAAATATACCACTGCCCTACCAGCAGCTGTACTGGACGACATTTCAATATGGCGGTACCTCCGGAAAACGAAGCAGGAGTGCCAACTCTTGGCCGGGAGGAAATTTATTCTATAAATTTGCAGCAAAGATCTTCCCGTCATATCGATAGCTACGCAATAAGCTCTTTCTGAATGAATTGGATGTGATCAGAAAAAGGCCCTGAGACACAGTAATTATCTACCATGACTTACGCGAGACGTGAACATAGGCACTGGAACCACTTCTCACTCATTTGGAAACAGTGGCTGTATTTAAACGACAATAAACTTTTATTCAGCATTAAAAATGTAAACGTAAAGCTATCCGTGGCTTTAATTAAATAAGTATCGCTCCAAGAAGACGTATGGAAGGATGGAGGAATAGCTTGCTGAACCATCGATAGTAGATGCAGGTGAATTATGCTCCCTCCGATCTACTCCAGAGTAAACAAGCCCTCGTTTTATCGGAGCTGGAGTGGGGCCCGTTGATGGTTTAGACCAGACCAGCGATGTCCAACTGGCGGCCCGCGACTTGATTTACTCCGGCCCCCCGCCAAGTCTCAGGTTTATTTTCAAAAATCTTAACTTTACAGCTGTATTGGCATAGAATTCAGTTTTTAATAGGACGTTTCATTAGCTTACAGCATTTTGCAATTGACTGTATACGTTCTTACCGAGGTGGACAGTTCAAACTGTTTTCTAATAACTGTGTTCATGTCATGGAAATTCCAAGTCCCCCAACCCTACTTCTGTAGGGAGATGACACTGAAGGGAAGACCGTAGTGGTGAAGGATTTATGACACCTTCAAAATAGTAACCATTCCCAGCTTGCTCGCGGGGATGGGATGTTTACCGTTTCTCTCGGCATCCTGGCCTTTGTTAAGTGCCAGTTTTAGCAGAAATGTCTCCCAGTTAGTGCGATTTTAGAAAGTGAAGTGTGATTATGGAGTGTTGAGTGTAGAACTGTTTTTCAATTAAAATTGTTTTTGAAGTTATTGTAAGTGATACAGCATGTCAAATAGTAAATTGAGAAAAGTTGATAGTGAAAATAGGGCGTTCAAATCTGAGTGGGAACATGACTATTTTTTTTATATTAAATAAAGACCACAAGCCACAGTGTTTAGTATGTTTTCAAGTGCTAGCAGTTTTAAAGGAGTACAACCTAAAGAGGCATTACATGACAAATCATAAACAGAAGTTCGGAAAACACTCTTGTGAATCAAGGAAAGTAGTCTGCGATCAGTTAAAGAAAAAACTTTTCCAGCAGAAATCTCTTTTTACCAATGAAACAAAACAACAAGAAGAAGCTTTGCTGGCTTCTTATTTCGTGACATATGAATTAATGAAAGCTAAAAAAGCGTTAAGTGATAGTGAATTAATTAAGAACTGTGCGATAAAGATGGCAGAAGCTTTCAATGAAAATAAGGTAGGAAACAAATTTCAAACAGTGCCCCTTTCAAAACAGACTGTTACTAGGAGGCTGGAAGATGTTAGCAACCAGATATCTAATAATGTGAAAGACATTATCGCTAACTGTTCCCATTTCTCAATTGCCCTCGATGAAAGCACAGATGTTTCGGATACTAATCAGTTGCTGATATTTGTTCGTGCAATTAAGGAAGATTTTACAATTTTCGAAGAGTTGTTAGAAATGTTCTCTTTACACAGCACAACTAGAGGTGTCGATATTTGTAACGCTGTTAAGAGTGCAGTGGAGGAATTCGGTGGTTTTGAAAAATTGTCCTCCGTAGTAACAGATGGCGCTAAATCAATGACAGGGACAATAAGCGGTTTTGTTGGATTTTTAAGACAGAATCAAATTACTGTACCTACCTTGCATTGTATTATACATCAGGAGGCTCTATGTGCCAAATCAATTAAACTGCCTACCACCATGGCTACTGTCACAAAAATTACTAATTTGATCAGAGGAGGAAATCGATTACTCATTCACATACAATTTCTGGCCCTCTTGGAAGAAATGGATTCTGCTTACGGGGACCTGCTTCTGCACACTGAAGTAAGATGGTTAAGCCGTGGGAAATGTCTGGTACGGTTCTTTGAACTCCGTCATGAAATAGCAACATTCCTAAGAGAAGAGGTTACGAATTCTGCTGAACTGCAGAATGATCTCGAAGACGTCGAATTCTTGAGAAACTTGGCCTTTCTCACTGATATCACTCAACACTTGAATGTCCTGAATCTGCAATTGCAAGGCAAGAAGCAGACAATATGTCAGATGGTTGGCTTTGTTGACAGTTTCCGTAAAAAGCTACATTTATTTAAGTCTGCATTGGACAAAAATAACCTTCTACATTTCCCTTGCTGTCGGAAACTCTCAGAAGAAGAAGAAGGCTTGGAGTTTAGGGACTACACTGAAATTATTGAAGATTTGTCTTCAGAGTTCGACCGACGATTTAACGATTTTGAAAGCTTTCGACCTGATATTTCTTTATTCAGTAATCCTATACATTGTGATATAGAATCTCAGCCAGGTCATCTGCAATTAGAGCTTTGTGAACTTCAATGTGACCCATCCTTAAACACATCTCAGGTTACTGGAATTGACTTTTGGAAACTGCTTTCACCAGAACGTTACCCACTGTTACGAAATTGGGCTCTCAAACTTTGCTCTGTTTTTGCAAGTACTTACATATGCGAAACAGCGTTTTCATCACTGAAGCATGTAAAGTCTAAGAAGAGGAACAGGCTTTCATATGTCGTGTTATCACATATTCTTCGAGTGGCAACCTCACAATTAGAAGTGGATTTATATCATTGGTTTCCAGTTTTATGAAACCACAGTGCTCTCATTAAAGCAGTGTGTATATGAGGATTTAGGTATAATCATTAGATCATAAAAACTATGATTGAAAGTCTTTTGTGCCCATCCCTGCTGAAAGAGGAATTTGTGCTGTTTTATGGTAAGTAATTGCAAATTTCAAGGCATTTTATTTTTCTTTCTTAAATTATAATTGCATTTTTCCCCGGCATATATAAAACTAAACATAAGGCATGATCTGGCCAGTGTTTCTTTAAGAAAAAATGCTCTGAGGGTAGAAGTGATAGAAGGCAATAAAATCGATTGGTGAAATTTTCAATATCGGCTTAATATTATTTGTGTAACGTAAAATTTAAATGCATAGGTTTAACTGCGCTTATTTTTACACGGGTTGTGACTGGTTCAGTTTGGGGGGCAATACTCCCCGACCACTCTTCTGAAAGAAACACTGTATCTGGCCCCTGATGGTGTTCTATAAACTAAATTTGGCCCTCGAGATGTATTAGGTTGGCCAACGCTGGTTTAGACGGTTATTACCTCAACAATTTTTGATGACGTAGCATTCGTGTTACTGATGAGAGGAATTTATGAAGTACTCCATTGAGATCATTGAGATGGCCTCATATGACCTGAATACCACATATCATGACTATTGGTTCAAGAATTCAGGCGAAATTGTTATTACCTCTGCACTTTGAGAGGCTGATGGGAGGGAGTTATGAAGTGCGTCGTTAGGATGTTACAGACACGTAGACACATAGGCAGCAAAGTGATGTCATAAGCCTACTTTTATTTTTTTCAAAATAAGTCTAAAAAATACAATAGTGAAAACCGCATTGTTTTGTTTCACAGTTGAATGCTGATGTGGGAAGGGAAAACAGCTTTAGCCCCAGATCTGAAATCAACGTATAATAATTAGTTTTAAATTAGCATTGTAACATTGTTGATTAGTAACATTCTTGCAATCTTTTTTCGTTGCCGAATTCTCAATGCCGGTCGCCATATTTTTTGTTCAGTGTACGGAATTAGAACAGGAAGTACATCATGCCATTCTGTTCCCATTTCACCAGAGACAATAAGTGAACTATGTACCAGGTGGCGTGTACCCGATCCATAACAACCTTTCAAGAATGAACACAAAAAGTTAGGAGAGAGAAAAAATAGAGTAACATCGATATATGTGTATTGTATGCGCATGTGCCCTTTGACAGGCTTTCATTCCAAATTACAGTTCATCGACGTACAGGCAGTTGTTGCATCCACTATTCTGGTTTAGCGTTTTCATTTGACGGGATTCCTTTGTAGCGTGACTAACATTAATTGTATTTTGTATAAGATTTATTATTCTTTTCTTTGGAGAGATTACGTGTCTCCTCTTTGTGGCGCCTAATTCCCTTCCCGTAGCCTAGTTTCTTCACCTTTTGGACAAGGTGTCGATATTTTTGCACTAGTGTTTACATCCTTCCCCTCCTTATCTCCAGAATTTATTGACACCTTTGTCTGAATTGTTTACGAAGCTTATAAAAGCAGACACAGTCCGGGCGGGAGAGGAGAAGGTTTCCAGCCACACCGACTAGTAACAACTGCCAAAATTCCTAAAATGGTGAGTAACGGTCTTGACAAAGCACGTTTCACGATTACAGCTCTGGCACAATGTTTGTTATATGATTCTTTGCGTTCTCTCCTACTGTAGCCTTTTTATCACGCTTTGTATCCTTAAACAAAGGCAAGGAGTATGAAAGTAGAAGTTTAGGGAGCAGGGATCTTACATAGTTATCTCTTTTAGATCACATTACACGATTGTATTGTTGCGATAGCCGATCACCGTTGCCGAGCGGTCTAAAGCATGAAATGTCTTCGCCCGCTCAAACACTGGGATCGTGGTTTCGAATCCCATGTGAGGTATGGATGTCTGTGTTGTTCTGTGTGTAAGGGGGCTGATACCCCGTCCAAGAACTCCTGCCGACTGTCTTAAGATTAAGAAAACTTAATTTAAACAAAGCGTTTCACGGATGCCCTATGCTCCAAAGTGGGAGCAACAAGAATAGAAGAGTTTTGCGATGACAACAAAGTACTTATACGCTTACTTCAAATCTCCTTCAACAACAGAAGTTCATATTTGTTCTTTCTCTAGTATGTGGGTTTTCAAACATGATACAATCCTGATTACCAGGGCCCGGATTTTGATGACCTGAAAACATTTAAAAAATGACCGAAAAAATCCAGAAAAAGTCCAAAAAATTACCCCCAAAATGATAAAATGACCTTAAACCTAAAAATGTAAAAAAAAATGACAAAAAAAATACCTATAAAATTTACATTTCTGTAACCAGCAGCTCATATCCGAGATTTCTACAGGGTGATTCACGAAGTTTTACCCCGGCTTATGGTACATATTCCTGGGGTTATTTCCTGCAAAATTTCCTTATAAACTTGTGGTCGATTTTCAATAGTTATGGAGTAACAATAGATTTTCGAAACGCATCATTGTGAATGCAGCGCTATGCTTCAGCGTGGGCGACCATACGTTCCAGTCAGCTATGTCAGCAGATAAGATAGACCGGTTTGAATGTTGCGCGTAGGTAGATAGGCAGAGCGGTTCGTACGCGTGCGACGCATTGTGTTGACGTGCAGGGAGACATTTTTTAAAATCTTATGTAAATCCAGTCGTCTTCTAAAGCACTACAGTTTAAAGGAAATAGATTGATAGAAGGGTGTGATATGCAACCATTGGTATGTTTACAGAGTGGGATGCTGAAAATAATGTAATTTTGTAACACAAAATCGATGAAGAATGTTGCACAATGCAAAATTAAGAAATTGAGAAAAAAAATGGTTTTAGAATGCTTCTTTCCTAAAACATTAACGATTTAAAAAGTGTTTGTATTGTATTTCTAATTTGTTTTGACTGAAATTTAAAGAAAAAAGATTTTTCGCAGTGTTCAAATTACTGTATCTCTTTAATTATGAGTTGGATAACATTAGTATATTAACATTTTTTGTTCCAAATTACCTCAGGAATGCCCTCCCTAAGTGGGGGTAAAACTTCGTGAATCACCCTGTATATTTAAGAGCATCACATAGGATACAAGGAAAAAAAGATGACATGTCATCAAAATCCGGGCCCTGCTGATTACTATATGCAGCCATTTTGTTATAAATTAACAAAATGACAAGAAGAAAGAGGAAATTGCATGCTTTTATCAACCTCTGCAGTTTTCCTTATGGTTATGATAGCACCTATTTGTTCGAAAAGCAGAATATGCGAAACTCGTTCGAAAAAAATAAAAAAAGCAGAAGACATAGGCGTCTTCCACCGTGCACCCTCCACCACAGCACTGATTTTAGGGAATCACTCATGGAGCTGAGCCCTTCTGGAGAAGCCGCCAATTCTGTAGCTACTCAAGGACTTCCCGGCATTTATGGAACCCGAAGGTTCATTGCCGGATTCACAGGAGCCCTCCACCGGTCCTTAACCTAAGCCAGATTTATCCAGTCCATACAACCTCATCCTATCTAAGACCCATTTTAATGTTTTCCACCCACCTACGCCTTGGTCGTCCCAGTGGTCTCTTTCTAGCTGGCTTTCCCACCAATATCCTATGTGCATTTAGGGAATATAATTACCTTAATCCCATAGTTAAACCTACAAGCGTATTGTTGTGTGTGTATATGTATTGAACACCACTTGGTTTAACATCAACGCTCTGTATTTTGCCCACAGAATGTGATTTTCTTTCTGCGATTAAAATGCTGTCTGTGTTCAGTAAGATCACTTTATGACGACCTTGGTTCCATTTTCATTTTCAAAATATATAATCTAGTAACTTTCTTATGATTACATAGCGATTTACATCATTATCTGATAATAACCTACTTTCAGAGACGTTTTACACACAGACTCTGTATCTATCTACCTCTGTAATCCTTTTGTTGGACGTTGACGGCTTTTTCTGTTTCTTAATTATATTTACAGTCTGTAGGACTCCTTGGACGGGCGATCAGCCCTCGCAAGGCTCATACCTACACAGAATAGACACACACAGACATCCATGCTTGAGTGGGATTCGAACCCACGATCCCCGCTTTCGAGCGAGCGAAAACATTTCATGCCTTAGACAGCGTGGCCACCGTGATCGCTGATCAGCTTTAGACACTGTCTGGAGTAATTTAAATATGTATTTTTTGCTCTAATTTATTTATTCAGCTTCCATGACGTTATGTACAACATGAACTGAATTGATTATTCCTCCTGTGAACGGAACGGACCATCCTATTGCCGACACTGTGGCGACATAAAATGATTTTGTATGAAATGCACCAGAGGTTTTCAAACTTTAGCGGATAGAAAATGTCGCGTGGTCAGCGCAACGGATCCCCACGGCCGTTAATCTCGGTTTTCTAGACCGGAGCCGCTATTTCCTTGAAATAGCTCCTCAAGTATCCTCATGAGGCTGAGTGGACCCCGTTCCAGACCCACTACTTCTCAGACAATCTGTTAGGGCCGGGAATCGAACCCGGGATCTCTGGATCTGTAGCCAGAAACTCTGACCACTAGACCACAGAGTTGGCACCAACTTCACCGACAAGCGGCGGTCGCTCCATCGATATAGTTCGCTTGCGGACTACAGGCCACGGAGTTTGTTGTTTTGTTGCACCAGAGGTTTTCAAACTTTTTAATATTGTGACCCTCTGAACTAACACGACATACATGCGACCCCCCATACCTAAATCTCTTAATATAGCTAACACTAATGAGTTCAGTATCCAGCACATTTACCTGTATAGCTGCAGCTACATTTTCCGAAAGCAACTATAGACCTTACTTACTTCGCTTGGATAAAATGGCGTTTCAAATTTTTGTAGAATTCGGCGAACCCTCTCCTTCCAGGGGGTTGTGACCCATAGTTTGAAAACAACTACTTTGCTGTGAGGTCTTCACAGACGTTTCGGAGGACATTATTGCCTCAATTTTCAGGATTGAAATATAATCTAAGCAACCAAAAGAAGCAAACAGCTATCATGCTGCTTGCAGGTTGTTTTGCTTACTCTTCGAACCTAAAGATAAAGGCATTACTTTCCTCCGAAACGTCGATAGTACTCTTCTACAGTGCTCCTCGTATTCACTCATTCGTGGAGCTGAGCCTTTCTTGAGAAGCCGTCAGTTGTGCAGCTACTCAAGAACTTCCCAGCATTTTATGGAACCCGAAGGTTCATTACCGTGTTCATAAGATCCCTGCACTGGTCCATATCCTGAGCCAGATCAATCTAATCCATACCATCCCATCCTATCTCTCTAAGATCCATTTTAATATTGTCCACCCACCTACGTCTTCGTCTTCATAGTGGTCTCTTTCCTTCTGGCTTTCCCACCAATATCCTATATGCATTCTTCTTCTCCCCTATTCTTGCTACATGCCCTGCCCATCCCATCCTCCTCGACTTGATCAGTCTAATTATACTTCGAGAAGAGTACAAGTTATGAAGCTCCACATTATGCAGTTTCCTCCTTGTACTGTTTGTATAATAATGTAAATTTGAGTACTTAACATCTGAAGTAAAGGAAAGATTCGAACTGCGCACATCTGGCACAAGGGTAGGCACTCCGTCGGAAATTTCCCGTTCATTGGGAGTGTGTCGTAACCTTCTTTAGCGTCTATTGATTTGTATGCAACCGTATTTCTGAATTTTTCATAAAACAACTCGTACGACACAACGCGCATGAGCAGAAGTCGATCAGAAGCTGATTACCCAACAGAGGATCGATCGGCTACATTTCTGCCCTCATTATGTGACAAAGTATTTCCATTTTCTGATTATGAAACCTGGACTGAGCCATAACTCAGGAGGTTTGGCACTGTCTTCTCAACCCGGAGCGTCAAGTTCAATCTCGGATAGTTTCATCTGAGATTCGTTGTGGACTGAGGGGCAGTCTCTTCGATTTTCCCGTCCCAATCATCATTTCACCATTGCTGAATACTCAGCTCTCACGCCTCTTGAGATGTGGTGTTGCCCTGACCAGGCAGCACAGTATCAGATCCTTGGTCTTTCATTTGGGGGCTTCGTCTCAGCCCCGGCACTTGGCTGGGTGCAGCGATGAAGTATTTTATTATAAAACTGAATTTGATATACATTTTTATATTTGTTTGGGCTCAAGGAGAAGCGGATCCAGAGGTAAGTTTTGAAATGACGAAATATGAAGCAATGCTGATGTTTCATTGTATTCATCCGTGTTTTGAACAATATTTGCCCCTTAACTGTTTAATGTAAAGGAGAGGGAAGAAGGAATGGGGAAAGGAATGACGATAGAACGTACAAATAAACAGAATGGAAATGGAATACTGAAGAAAGGAGGTCAAGATACGAAAGTGAAACATTTTAGTGATACCGACGTTTCAGAGGAAAGTTAGTTTTGAGGGTTTCGCAGTGGAGATTATTCAGATTTGGTGGTATGGGTTGTGATATCGCTAGTCTTGTACCGTAACATTGCGGAGATACAAGCTCCCTCCATCTTCAGGGTTGAATTTCTACACAGAAGACCACATTATATGTAAGGGATTCCCATAATTAAAAATTTACTGTGTGTCAGAGGAGTTTCAAGTC